AGCCAATCACGCCGCGTGCCATTCTGTGCTTTCAACGGAGGTAATGATGTGTTCGTCGATATCGGTGACAAGAGCTGGGGCGTGACCGTTTGCCAGCAGTGGTTTGGTAGCAAGGAGAATGGTGGCGCCATTCGCGGAGAGAACACACTGCACGTGGGCGATCAATTCCTAAGTGCTGGATCTAATGACTTCAAGGCGAGAAGTGTTGGAACAACGGCCTGGATCGCAAGCCCAGCCGAGACCGTGGAGCTGCTCGACGAGCTGGCTGATCTGATGCAAAAGAAATTGTCTTGATTGCAAGGAAACTTCGGCTTTTTGCATGGAAGGTCTCTCTTGGGTATACCCTGACGCTCGATCATGTCAGGAGTAGATTGGCTGTTACTCGAGGAGAGTCTCGGCTATACGTGGACCTTCGCCTTTAAACGTGGCATCGGCAGCAAGCCCGTCGACGTCCCGGCAACACAGGAGATTGATCCTCGTCGACTTATGTTAGGACGAATGACAGAAATTGCTGACGGATTGATTACTTGGTTGGCCTGACACCTCACAGACGTAATATCATGCTGGTTCTATCAGTTACATATCTTGATTGATCTTTGAGCCGGGGATAATGATGGGATCAAGATCAGTGAACTGTGTTTATTTATGGGAATACTCTATGTTGGAGTTAGACATCTACCAAGACTTCTGAATACAAATACCCACCGGATATCACTCTATCCTGAATGTCTTTCACCATTGTCGCTCAAATAATCTCTACCAACCTCTCTGATGCTTTAGCAGGTGTGCAAGATTAGGATTTCTGATACCATTTAGAAGCCTGATCATACTGACTCTCCACATCAACACGAGATATAAGATATTGGCATTTAACAGATATGAATCTTATTCTTGAAGCTCCTGGCAACTGATAGAGATTATATTACAAAATAATATAACTCAGTCTCAACCAATTAATGTTGAAAACCCTATCGTCTGTCCGGTGTGGCAATTATAGAAGTTAATTTGAACCAGATCTCTAAGCAACATCCGGTATGGTGTAGTGGCTAACATTTCGCGCTCTCAACTTACAGCTGAGGGATCAGTTCCGCGGAGCCCAGGGTTCGATTCCCTGTACCGGAGTTTCTCTTTTGCATTTTTTACCTTTTGTTCTTAAATGTTTCTGCCCATCATTTAGAGAACAGACAGAGCAAGCAAGTATTTGTATTTATTTGCCTTAAGTATCTATCGATCTATTTGCTTAATACTAAATAAAGTAAACCTATCTATATAATGTCTGCTTAAATATGGCCTGATAATGACCGTTAAGGATTGGATATCAACTAACAACACCAACAGCCATCGGTATATGCAAATCATGTCACTTTCATACCATTCATTAAAGTAAAGATGAACAGTCCGTCTTGCTGCATCTTCTTCAGATATAGGATGAAAAAAGCACTACTCAGTGCTGCGAGGCGTGAGTACGAAGCTTCAGAATGTCATCTACGTAGGTATTTATGTCTCTCTAACAGTTCACGCATACAACTCATTTCATTCGACATACCAAGAGCGGCAAGCATCTCAGTAAACTCAGTTCTTGCAAGCGTCCTCTGAGAGGAACAACATCAAGACACTTCACAATTTCCAAAAGTCATCAGGCGAGAGTGCATGGTCCTTTCTGACAATGAAGCTTCCTTGACCTACGAATATTGCTCACGGCAGCTCGTGCAGGAATTAAAGCAGTTGATACAGAACAAGCAATGTAAGTATTTCGACTTTGCCAATAATGTATTAGAAGACTCGAAAGCTCGAACGCGATAGTTATCCCAGCTTCAACACAAGCAAGCAAAGGCCTGTTTACAAACTCACATGAGCACAGTCAAGATGTGGGATTCCTCAATGATAAGTCCTCCCATGACCGCATGGAATTACTGGGGGGGTTCTCCCCAATGGAGTGTTACCACGGACGAAGGTCCGGTTATAACCCGTCTTGGCCACGTCAACCGCATGTTAGCCAAGATTGTGACACTGGAGGAGATGCGCATACGGCCAGCAAGCAGGAAACATATCGTGTCACAATCGGCTATTTGAGCCAACAAGAGACAGTGACTAGGGGAATGTACAAGAATTACGGGTAAGATAATAGTATCTATGGACTGCCCAGTAGTCTGAGTGCATTCTTGTGAATGGGGGCGTAAGCTTACACGTATCGCGCGCATGTAGACATACATACATTCGCCTTGGCAATGTACTGTTGAAGCAGGTAACTTAGGTATCAGGCTATATAACAAACATGACTTCCCTTGTTTCTCATTCTGTCTTATTTCTTACGTTGGATAAATGAGGCCACGTGATATCATCATATAGTCTATTCAATTCAATTCCCGCAGTTCAGTTCAATTCAGCTCAGCCCAGGTTGGTTGGCTGGTTGGTTGGCTGGCTTATTTATACCGAGTTAGCTCCCTTCAGCCTCAAGCCATTTGTGTTTGCTCCATGGACTTCGCTGGAGGACTCAGCTCTGACGAGATTCGCCCAATTGATCGAATAATGGATTTGGAATGGATGGAATTCGCCGAAGGTTGGGAGTGGCATGCACTGAATTATGTGAATCCTCTTCCTCCTATGATACCTTACCCATCTTACTGTGTCAGTCGTCGATGCGGATGGTGTCGCTTTTCGATCAAGCCCGGCGACCTCATCACAGCCAGTCAGTTACACAGCCTCTGAACGTCAAGAATCAATACTAATTCTATGAAAGGAGCATCTGGTGGCACTGAAACCGTTGCCTTTGAATCGTGCGATTCCTTCAACGATGAAAAGTTGCATGCAACTTTCAGGCGCTGCACAAGTGATCACGAGTCATGTGCAACAATCGGATATCACGTTGAATGCTCCGAGATAGCTTCATCATTCGGGCTTGACAAGAGAGCCTTTGTGCCAGTTGCTCGATATTCTTACGAGCCTTCGGTTCAAGAAGATGAGCGGCGACGGGAGTGGATTCTGAACCACTTGCACCAAATCATGAGTGAAAAGTTCACAAGTCTACCACCAGAGATACTGCTTATGATATGCAAACATCTGGTCCTTCACTATGCGATAGCTTCACTGTCTCATGTCTCTCGGTCGATTCAATGCACGATCGAGCCATTGAAGGATGTATGGGCTACTCATTTCGACCTGGACGGAATTGAGTATATAGCTTCCTTGTCGAACATGCCCAAGCCCGGGAGCAGTCAACTCTGGAGGGAGGTCGAGGGCCAGCAGGAGAACTATATTTTCATCTCAGAAGATCATCTCGGTATTCGACAGATCGTTAACGATCCTGGAGCTGTTGCATCGGTACAAGGTAGTTCAGGCTGGTGGCGAACACTCCCGATCACCAGCAAAGTCCTCTCATTCTCTGATGATGTAAGTTTTATGCCTCTGATCCTGAATTATAGTTCTAATGTCAAGGCAGGGCCTCAAATTGCGCAGTTTCGCAGCTGCTCCGTTGAATCCCACCATTTGTTGGCCATATCCCATGACCCCAAATGCAATGAAGAACATGGCTTATCACGTCACAAAAGACTCATCTTCAAGTCTCGGTATGACTATCGAAGCTCAAATGGTGGCTTTGGAGTTCAACGAGCCTGAGATCACGGGATACTCTGCTTGTTGGTACAAGGACCAGCTGGTCGATCTTCATACGCACAAGGCTGAAGAGTCCCTGGCTTTTTATCGTGAGCTGGACGAAATGGCGAAGAAAAAGTCAGCCAAAGAAAAGTCAGACGATTCGACTACAAGTTCATCCCCTCATTGGACGTACCATCCGTTGAATCTTGGAGAACGTGTTGAACAAGTCTGGTTGCGTTCAAGAAAGGAAGCCAGCGAAAAGAATACAACTGAAGACGAAAGGCGACCCAAGACATTAGATACTGCCACAGAGACTGCGATATTGGTATGATTCGACACACCGCGCCCTCTTGAAGCCTGAAGCTGACTCGTGTTAGCTGGTCACTAATCAGTCGCGAACACTTACCATAGGAAGAAGCAGCTCACCACGCAGCGAGTGGAAATGCATAGCCAAAGAATCAATGGAAAATCCAATGATAGTCTACTTCAGCCCTCGTCTTGGTGGCATTTCTTTATTTGCATCACCCACTGTGAAAGGAAGTGACAAGGAGACCTTGCCAGCAAGACTAGCACACGAATCCGAAACAGATCTTGTTGAGACCTCAGAAGTCTCGCTCGATGCTGTGAGAGAGGTTCAGATCTGCAGAGAAAAATCCGAGAAAGTGAACAGTTCAATATCCGGTCTCTTGTTTCTATACAAAGATGGAAGTCAGGCATGTATGGGCAAGTTTCGCTTCGATCATGCGAAAGAGATTGTGTCTGCTGCCGATTCTACGTGCTTCTATCTCGGCACCAGATACTTGGATCAAGGGAACCAAGTCCTGAGAGAGTTCTGTTTATCGAAGCCAGAGTATGAGGATGAGCCACTGGAGTGGAAGAGTACTCTGTGGAAAGAAAGTTTGCCACGGGAGATAATGCTATTGATGGACAATCAGATGGGTTTTCTGAATATATAATGATTGACTATCTCAATACGTACATAAACAATTAATTAATACCTCGCTCGTCTCTTCATGAGTAACACGAGATGATGACGAGGGGAGAGAGAAATTAGGGGGCCCAAGAAAAAATTCCATATTTTGACCACTGATCGGTAAGTTTATACAGGTCTAGCCTAATATCTCTGTATCGTTCCATTGTTATCAGGGGATCGTTGATTAATATCAGAATTGGGTAGAATCACATGTTGGAAGCCTCGAGATGTGCGTGTTGCAATTACGTCAATTGCTCGTAAACGGTGTCTCAAGGTGACTTTAGCCACAGCATAATGGCAATGAGACTGCAATAACTTTCCTCTATATTAACAGGTAGCTTATCCAACTTGACAACTATCTATCGATGACACTCTCTCTATTGAAATTAGTGTCTGCATTCTCTCGACTACAAACAAAAGTGCCAATATCAACATGGCTGAGTCCAACAAACTCAACAACGACCTCACCGAAAGCACATACGTCAAAGTGTGCTCAGATCATAGCGAAACACAATCAAGACAGATAGTGACCTCTAAATACAAGGACGAAAAGCTCAGCCCTCTCCAGAAACACGTTCAATTCTGGGACCGCGACAATGACGGCATCATCAACCCATGGGACGTCTACAACGGCTTCCGCGAGCTCGGTTTCGGCCTTTTCTTCTCAATAGGCTCTCTTCTCATCCCCATCTTCTTCTCGTATCCAACACGGCTCGGTCATAGTTGGCTCCCTGACCCCTTGTTCCGCATCTATGTCAATGACATCCACAAGGCCAAGCATGGCTCTGATACAGGCATCTTCGACTTTGATGGAAACTTCAGCCCCGAGAGATTCGAGCAGATGTTTCAGAGGTTCGATACATCAGGAGATGGAGGCTTGAATGCTGATGACCTGTGGAGATTATGGGCGAAGGATCGTTGTGCAGCAGATCCCGCTGGTTGGACCTTTGCTTTCATGGAGTGGTGGACAACATATGTGCTTCTCCAAGAGGATGGAGTCGTGAAAAGGGATGACTTGAGAGCCTGTTATGACGGAAGCCTGTTTTGGAGGATCAAAGACGAAAGAGGCAGACACAGCCAGTGCATGGATAGAAAGAGCTTTGGCATGAGAAACTTCTTTGCTTCAATTTAGCAGGCCCTCGAAAAACATAGCTTCAATTTCTACAACGGGTCATCTACAGGTCACGTAGAGTGAATAGATAGCAAAATTAGAGAATACTGATCTTCCACCAAGCCTGTAGGTATGATTATCTCCAGTCCCTCCTAACGTTGGAGACCTTTGTTGGAAGCAAAGCGGTTTTCGATAACCTCACCAGCACGTACAACTTAGGCCAACGTCTTGAGAGTGTTTCCTTTAAGAACGTGATTTTGTTTCCGTATCTAAATGCTTCTCCCTAAAAAGCCGTATACGCCGTAAAAGCCTCTTCTCTTGGCCTGAGACTGGTGTGTTGTAGGAGTATGGCGATGATTCTTTGCCTGGTATACCATCGCCGTTCTGAGCCGAGTATTCGTTGCCGATGAATCCTTTTCGTCCAAGGTGATGTCACATGTCCATATGTAGCCTGGCCTTGCTGTAAATATTTGAGAGCGCATATCTAGAGGTATTCTATTCGCTTTGTCGTTTGTAAACTCCGTTTGTCTTGTGCTGCTCTCTTGATCTCGATTTACATCCATGATGTTGCTATCCTTTACCGTGTCCTTCTCTGGGTCGGCATGCGCAGAGGAGAGAAGTCGTTTTCGTCAACCTTTGTGTCAGGTCTTTCAGATACTTGTATGAGATCTCAAGCGGAGAACTCGATACATCCAACACATAACGCGAACGAGTACGTGGGAGGTCTTGAACAGATGTCACCACCATTTTCTGTTCCCTATAGCTCACAATAAGATACTGCTGAGGATGTCGGGAGTGGCGATGTGTTTGTATTGGAAGAGGGGGCTCTGCCAAAGTTATACAAAACGCGGAGTTAAGACTGGCGCAAAGAGAATACGAGCATCTAGCATCTTACAAGTCTTACCTCTTGATAGGACATTAAACACAACTGGGTACCTTATGCTTGGAGGACAGAACGAATAATGACTGGCTACTCCCTACGTGAAGCATATCACTTACGCAGCTGTGCTACACCAGAACAAGACGAGAGCATCAATAACAATGACAAAACATGGAATTCGTAAGCTGTGCTCAGCTCCCACCGTGTGCCACTGCGACTGAATCGTGACGGTTGATCTGGAGTAGCCAAGGCCTTTATGAAACAGCTGATTCGAAGTGATATCAGGGAGATAACTTTACCCTCTTTCATTACTTCACTGACAGCAGATGCTCCTGAAACTTACCGAGGACATGGAGGCGATATCACGACGTTTTGGGGGACCCATCATAAAGCAAGTCAGAAGAGTCTTGAATTCTCATACACTAACCGATCCCAAGGGCAAAATATTACAGCAAGTCATCCTTGCTCGATGACCTGTCAATCATTTGTGATTTGGATCCCCAAAATGACGACTATCGTGTAACAAGCACCCCACGATCGTCACCAGAGATCCCACCCGCTCGCACATCATTTAGTTTGTATGGAGTCGGGTCTCAGTTCTGTTGAGTGCTGTTGGGGGGGTCATGAAGAGAAACAGGAAGAAACAGGAGGTTATGACCGAGTTCATTGTCTCTAATCATACCTAAACGCTTATCGGCTGGCTCTTAACTGGCGAATTATACACTTTTGTACATATGACTCTTGTCTGGATCCTCAGAATCCCCCTTTACCATCATAAGCTCCCTTCTTAGTAGCTTCTTTCCATAACCTCTTCTTCACTTCCCTCACTGTCTCTCCTCTCTCCTCTGCCTCGCGTTCCAACTCCTCCTCAAGTTTGGCCTTTCTAGCAGCACTTTCCTCTGGCGTCGCCACAGGAAGTAGTGTCCGCTCAAGTGGGTTATAAGGAACCCAGCCAAAAGGGTGCAAACCGGAATCCACATCTTTCTCCCACCAGGCATACAATTCGCGGAGAGTAGGAGATACGTCGTGTTTATATGCCCCAAGCCATGCCGCGAGCGCCGCCCTGCCAAGTCCAAGTGCATACCTCTGCTCAACCTTTTCCTCGTAGGTAAGCTGCCTAGTCATTTCTAAAGACACTGGAATCAACGGGACTTTCAATCCCGGGTGCCGTTGGTCTGGGCGCGCCAGCACGCCAAATGGTGCGTCAAGGAGGCCTATGTATAACCTGCGTTTGTAGATTTTGGCGAACACTCCATTCGTGCTAGGCGGATCAACCATTGGTATGGTCGCGTATTCCCTCTCGGTCGGCGGGTTGTCGGCGGCCAAGATGTGCCAGACTCGCAGTGGTATTAGTTTCATGATGGCTGATGCCCATTCCGAGGCAGATTTCAGCTTGAGAATTTCCTCCCACTGATCCGTCTTTGGCAAGGTCATGAGTGTCTCGACAATGTGTTCCATATGCTTTTGCACTTGGTCTTGCTTCGCCTCGAAAATTGCGATCTGCTCTGGGGTAGCGTCCATATTATGCTGCCATGGAGTTTTGGGCCGGTGTCGTTTCATTAGCTTGATTCCCTTCTGTACTTCCATCTGCTTGAGCTGGGCTAAGACACTGGTAAAATATCGGTCCATCCGCCTTGCGATGTAGTCTATACTGTAATATGGCCGTTTGATGAACTCTTCGAGCTGAGCCAACTCTTCCTCGGTCCATGGCCTTGCTTTAATCTTGAGCTCATCTCTTGGGTCTGAGGATAAGAGAAGGCCTGGATCTGGGGTCGGGGCATCACTATCACCAACGCCTTGGCCGCCAGTAACATCGTTACTGCTTTTGATTGAGTCGTCTACAGTTGGCTTTGCTTCGTTGCTGGTTTCGACAGCGCTGTAGGCCTCTATACCTTCCTCGGCAGCAATACTGCTGTTGATATGTATTGGCTCGTCTGATTTCGCTTCGTCGCTGGCCTCAATAGAGTTGTGGGCTCCTATACCCTCTCCGCCAGTAATGTCGCTGTTGATATTTGTTGCTTCGTCTGGCTTGGCATCGTCACCGGTGTGAAGACATCTTGGTTGTTGGAGAGAGAGGAGGCGAATAGGGCTAGGTTGTCGTTTGGAGACCGCAAGTTTGTTTTGGTGGTGGCGCAAAAAGCTCAAGGAAATTCTACGGCTTGCGTTTGACAATTGATACAAGGAGAAAGGTGCCATTATCGCGGGAGCTGGGCAACACCGACTTCCTCGCGTTCGAAATTATCGGCGCGACTGGAGAATGTTGCGTAGAGCAGAGCTTCAGCTTCGTAACACGTGACAGGGTTTACAGGCACAAGACCAATTTTTTACAACTACCAACCGGATTTCGATGCCATTTTTGCAAAAGGTCTTATTTTACACGGTCGAAATAAAAACTGGCTTATATATGCAGCTCTACTGGTTGTTTTAGTTTGCATTCAAAGACGTCGATGGAGGGCGGTCATAGGGAACCCACATCGACAGCTTGGGCACAGCTAAGGAATATACATCATGACCAGAATAGACATTTAAAACAGCATGCTATATGTAAAAATATATTCCCCTGCAAGCGGTAGGCAAGTAATGGCGTGGAGTCTAGAACTAGACCATTATTATCATACAACCTCTGCAGCATCCATCCATCTCATGCGAGAACTTAGAGAGACACACATCCATCCGCGCTGTCCTCAAGGAAGATACCACCGTAAATAAGCCCCTCGTTCAAGTTGGCCTCCTGAAATCCAGAGTTGGCCACATCATCGGTACCAGTAGGCTTCTTGAGGATACCAATCTGGAACTGTCCCTGCCCGGTCAAGTTGCGGGCGATGGGCTGAGTGGCGACCTTGAGAGGCTTGCATCCCTTGGAGTAGTAGGCTTGGATGGTGCTATGATTGTTAGATACGATCGTTATGCTATGTTTGTTTGGTAGGGACTTACTTCTTCTCATAGTTGAGAGTGATGGCAAAGTTCTGCCACACCTTCTTGAGCATAGGAGTCTCCCAGAGAAGCTTGAAGTCCTGGTCGAGAAGCTTCCAGGTAGCAGCCGTGCCGTTCTGTCCGATGAGTTGACCAGCTTGGAACTGGAACTGGTTGCCGGAGAAATCGGCCTTCTCGTGCCAGACATTCTATTCTTGTCAGTATCAACCACCCTGATAACAATTGAAAGAATACTTACCAGGTACTCATGGCTAAGGTTGAGAGGACGCTTGTCATCCTGCATGATGCTGAAGTGCAGAGTCTTTACACCCTTGGATCCAGGGCTACCCTCATTGCTATCCTTGTTGAACTGCAGACCAGCACGTCTGAAGCCAAGCTGCTTCATGAAGATACTCTTGTCGCTGATAGTGACCTCAAGTGGGATGGTACCAGCCTCGGTATCGAAGCGCGACTTGGTCTTGGTCTTGGGAAGCTGAAGAATCTCGGACCAGGAGATGTTGTTTCCCTTGACGAAGCCGGGGTTGTAGGGGTTCCAGCCGCCGCCATTCGCCGTGTCGAAGTCGGTCAGAGAGGCATTGGCAGGGACTCGGCCGTCGAAGACGACGGGGCAAGTCTCGCTTGCTCTGGCGAGAACCTGAGAGCGTTGGCCGAAGGGAGAGGCAGAGACCACGGAGGCCAGAAGAGTGACGAATGCAGCGGTACGCATGGTGAACGAGTAACGATATATACGAATGGTAAAGGAATGAATGAAATACAAAGAAATGAACGGATACTAGCCAGTAGTAACTTGAAGACAAAATGCTACAGAACCAACCATGTTGTTACGATGCAACAGCGTCTTAATATACATCTCGAACAGAACCCTTTTCAGTCTTTCAGATCGGGTAATTCGGTAGGTGCTCCGTTTCAGGCCAGGTTGGTAATCTTGTGTACGCGGCAGTTGAACAAGACATCCCACTTTGGGAATCAGAGTCGGTTATTCCACCCGTAAATATATATCTGCCATTGGAGGAATTATTAATCTGGACAGTTGACGGTGTATCTGAAACGTTTTCTAGAAGCCAGAGAAACTTTAACTGGGCGCAATAACTAAGCTTATTAGATTGGTTCCTATTAAGGTTTAATTAAGGAACCGGAGCCAGGTTGTAGCGGGATTCGATATTTCGACGATAGTTTCAGGAATAGCACACGGGGCAGATGGTGGATATATCTTGAGACGAGATAAAAACTTATTTACTCTACTCCGTACGTACTCAGAATTTCAGAAAGTTCCTAGATCATCTTTGGACGAATCCCCGGAGCAAAACTCGTCGGAGGGAGAGACAGTCTACCTCCGTCAGCTCCGGGATGAAGCGGACCCACCGTCGGCCGTGCTCCATATAAAATGCCGACCATATCGGCACTTGGAAGCTCTTGGGTGCCGAGAGTACTGAAGTTGATATTAAAAGTATATCGGGTATCATTCCATTTTAAGCTTACACAAAAAGTGAGCACTATCATTTTCGCATTCCTACGATTGACGGCACGGCACGTTTATTCTTCTTCCCCGCCATCAAGCTCAGACTCTCCAAAGTAACCGTCCACCAAGACTCTATTTACAGTAAGTAAGTAGCCTCTGAACCTTGACTCTTTTCAAACTCTGTATCTATTCTCACTCCCCCCATCCATCCCTCTCAGCCAGCCTCCTTTCCCCAGGATCCCCGTGTTACATCTGGGGAAGACACTTCCAATTCTCCAACATCCCAACAATCACAACTTCTCCGTGGGTAGCACAAACAAAAAAGAAAGAAGAAAAACACCTCCACCCCCACGGAATCTCCAATGCGGGCACGAATCAGCCCTCCTGCTTCTCGGCACTGATATCCGAGGAGGCTTCTTTCGGTGTGCCGGTTCTCTCTCGTGCAGCGCGGTAGTCGCGTTTCATCAGCCTCAGTTCTTGTCGTGTTTCGCTCGGCACGTTATTTCCGCGATGCTGCATTAGTTGTGAACCGGAGTAAGTGTTAAGCATGACCGGTCACGCGGATCATGCATGTTAAACCGCTCCAAAGGGAGCAATGTGATCTGAAGCCAGAGCTTGTGAGTGAGCCAGACACTCACCCACCCACTCACTCACTCACTGGTCGTGAGACTCTCTCTGTTCCGTCAAATCCTCTTGACCACGTGGGGGGTTGTCACTGTGTCTCAACTTTGTCCAGAACCTTTGCGTTGATGACAGCTTCAGCCTTAGCCAGGTACCCGGAACAGACACCCAACACCAGTGAAACTCAGTGGAAACCCACGATGACCGGCGAGGAGTATCATGAAGGTTGTATTAGCGTCACGCCCTGCTCTCATTCTCAATCTCATTCACATTCACATGTCCCAATGCATCACAAATTCTTTCCAGTGCTCAGCGTCATCGCAACGCCTCACCTTTGTTTTCCCAAGTCCAATGAAGCCCTGTGACATTTCCACTTTCGCTGCTACTATCGATCAGCGGTGAGACCCCTCCAATATCATATCCAAGCCAATATATCGCTCATCCCGACTTCGCTTTGGTCATGGCTAATACAGTATGAACATCGTCGTCGTGAGACATGCGTGCATATCGCGTGGGATGTTTTCCGTCGCTTCTGGATATGTAACACCGAAAACTCCCAGCCCTCAGCATCGGCGCATCCGCACACGCCACAGAGGGAGGAGTGTGTACTCACCTGTCCCAAATTGCCGGGTAAATAGACATTCAGAGGTAAATAAACATCATTCTTGCAGTAGCGACATGTGATATAACGTGCTACGATATCAACAAGTGGAATGCTTGCTTCCATCATCCTTCTAGTAAAATAGATCTCGCTTCAATCCCTGTAAATCTAGATAATGCTCTTACCCAACCGTCAGGCGATTGATAACCGCTATCTCAGAAACGTCAAAGCACCTGATGAAGACGTCAAATGTCGCGGCCACAACACCAAGTGGTCCCGAAGACGGCCCTTCTCTTATGGATACTCAACACGAACCGAGGCTGGAGTAAATAATGATTGGATAAGCAAAGAACGCAAGTCTATTGTGCTAGTTCGCAGAAAAGACTGGTAGTAGTGGCATCGTAGCACCAGAGCAGCGAGCCCATATATACATACGCCCGTATACATATGTACCTGATACTTGTAAGAATAAACAATCTTCAAGGGGGTCGCGCGCATCTTTGAATCCAAAACTTCATAGAAAAGAATAAACGGGTGAATTGATAAACCCCCATGGTCATCCTTCTACCCGACTTTTCTGTCCATCTGCAGACCAATGGCATGTTAAATATCCATTATCCACCAGATTCCAAAAGAGCAAGAGACTGTTTCTTCGGGGGGTATTAAGTCTGCTTTGCTTGTAAGACATCCCCCATCCTCGTCGGCTGTAATGCGTCGTCATCCGACGAAAACAGGGAAAAGGTAGTATACTATGTACATGTTGGAGTGTAAAAGAAAAGAAGCGACAGAAATTCACCAACTCCAAACCATGTAGGCCTAGACCATCATCCATGGCCAGCTTGACCCCAACGCCAATATAGGTGAATGCAAAAGTTATAGGCGTACAAATCCAATGTTGCTCTTATTATCAAAGAAATGGTTGTTTAGTGTTTGTAGGACATTTCAAATGTCGTTCCATCAGTCATTAAGTCGTCTAGTAGCCCGGCTGGCCTGGCATCTTGCCCAACGAGTGTGAGCCAGTGCCCTTCGGGGGTAGATGGTTGTGGCAAAAGATCTTTTTGTTGCCGTTTGCTGTGTTGTCCTTCTTGGTCGCATCAATGAGAAGAGCGGGGTCATCGTAGGACTCCAGCTGGCAGCACTCGACATTCTTCAGCCAGCGGTTATGGATGACGTCCTCGATGCTGATACGCTTTTGCGGATCAGGGTTCAACATCTGTAGCACAAGACGGCGGAGAGCAGGTGGGGACATGCCCACATCGAGGGCGTAGCATTTGGGGTAATCCGTATCAGAGATAGTGGCGTCGGGCTCTGGGTGCTTTCCATACCATGTTTCCCAGCCCTTGACAAGCTTATCATAATGGAGTTCTCCTGGGACAGCGCGGGACCAGATGGCGCCGCCAAAGGTGAGATAAATCATGACAATCGCAGAACTCCACACATCGAGTGATCGAGGGTCGTAGCTTTCCTTCTTGGCGAGGACCTCGGGAGCGATGTAAGGCTCACTTCCACAAATGCCAGGTGAGCAAAGTCGGATCTCGCCGCTCATGTTACGGCCGCATTGTCCACCAGCTTCACGAAGACCGGGGTGAGTACCACAGAAAACTTCCGATACACCAAAATCGGTAATCTTGAGCTTACTGTCCTTGGTGATCAGAAGATTCTCAAGCTTGATGTCACGATGGGCAATGCCATTGGCATGCAAGTAATGGACACCTTGAATAAGCTGCTTGAAGAGACACATGCGGTCCTTCTTCCGGTCATCGCCTTTGAGATGACCCTTGGAGACCAAGCTGAAAAGATCACCTTCCGAGCAATATTCCATGACATGGTTCCATCGCCCGTGATCGGTACATAGGCGGAAAGTCTCGACAATATTGGGGTGATGTAAGCTCTTCGCAATGCTGAACTCTGACTTGATCTTGTTCTCGTAGTCCTGTTGGCTTTCCCGATGCGATTTGCCGCGGAACTCCTTGACGGCGTAGAGCTCTTCTGAGTAACCTTTTCGCATCATGAGGGTAACCTTAGAAGCCGCTCCCTTGCCAAGATGCTTGCCATGACGGCCGAGGAACTTGCGCTGGTATTCGAATTCGTTCTGTAGCTCAGCTACGTCCACAGCGAAATCATCAGGAAGGCTCAAACTCATGCGTCGAGCCTTGGCACCGGTACCGGAGTCTGGTGGTAGAGGCCAGACACTTCGTTCAGGTGGATACATTGTCTCGTCGCCTTCCGCAGGAGGTGGGAGAGGGGTGCTAGGCCGGCTACCGTCATAGCTGCTGGCTCTGCGGGAGTATTCAGGACGCTTATGTCCGGTTCCTCGGCTGGGGTTGTGAGCGCCAACGAAGTTAATTGCTCGGCCACGCAGAGTCAGACCAGTCGATGCACGGTTCTTCTTGAAATCTCCTTGGCTGGGAAGAGACTTGTCAGAGGCACGCTCGCGGTGTGCGGGAGCCATTTCCAATCCATTGTCGCTAGGCGAAGGGGGTGAGTTGGAACGAGTAGTTGCAGAAGAGCGGTTCATGGAGAAACGACGGCGAGCTGCAGCACGTGGTTGGCCATTTGTTTGAGGCTCCGTTGGTGCGGACACGACGGAGGGTGTTGCAGATTCCGAAGGTATGTAATCGTTTTTAACATGGGAATTAGATCGGCGGAAGAAGCTCGACATGGTGCGCTTGAAACTCGAGGTGGAGATGGAACCTCGGGTTGACTGACGGGTGAGAGAACTGCCTGGCTCAGGTTCTGTTGCTCTGGGAGTACTTGGTTCGTAGGTAGTAGGAGGGCGGCTGTTATTTACGGATTGTGATATATATGTTCCTTTGTTGGGGTTGGCCGAGTTGGGGATCGCGATAGGTACAACTCCTGAAGATGTGGCTGAAGCTGTCTGGTAAGACTGCAGATTTTGGAGGTCCTGCAGGTCCTGGCTCTGAAGGGTGAAGTCCTGGGACTGGCGACCACTAATAGGTGTAACGGGTTCGGCGGCGGATTCGCTTCCAGATTCACCACCTTCTTCTAGGACAATTGATTCAGTAAGGTCGGTACTATATTCGCGAGGCGACGATAGGGACTGGAACTGGTTTGGGCGAAAGGTAGAGGATGAGGTACTTTTATCTGTGGCGGGAGCAAGCAAAAAGACGTCAGCAGGCAGGGATGACTTGATCTTGATGTTGGAGAAGTTGCAGTTGCAGGGTTCGGGTTGACATGGGACAAGGCTAGGGGAACCAGGGATCAACCGGGGGGTGCATGAGGCAGAAATAGAATGGAACGTGAGTTGTGAGTAAGAGGCAACAAGAACGAGTGATCATGCAGCAAAACAAATAAACTGGACCGAGACCCCCAAAGTGTGCCAAGGCTCAGCAAATGTCATGAATTTATAAAGTCTGGGCTCAGCCCAACAAGGCACAGCGAAGGGGAAGTGACTGTGACAAGTGACAAGTGACAGTGACAGTGACATTGACGGAATTATAATGGGGAAACGGTGATGGAAATAAACAAATGGCGAATGTCCGAAGAAACCCAACCTTCTGGTTGCATTCATCCAATTGCCGCTTTTTGCTTTGTACTTTTTATTTTGCCCTTTGCCTTTGCTTTCTCAGCAAATAACAAAGTAGAAAAAGTGCAAGCCCACTGACAAAAGCCGTCGCTCAAAGCCGATCTGATTCAGCCAAGTCTAGCTTCAGTTGCAGGTCCCACGTTTATCGCGTCACTACTCAGCTTGCAGCTTGGTCCGCGGCGCAGGGCCCACGGAGATGGAGAGACTTCTCGCTTCCGGTGGACGTGGGAATGACGAAATGAATGCGAGAAGACAACAGCGGAGAAACAATCAAGTGAAGTGAAATGAAACGAGTTGCTGCTCATCAAAGAGAAACCCAAGACATGAACACGAGGGGGGAAATAGAAACAGGAATAGGCTTGACTTGAAACGGGCGAATGGATGGGCAATGCTTGCCCAGATGGGTTTGGGGTGAGGATAGAAAGAGGCAAATCAAGGAGAGAAACAGTTGATTACAGAGACAAACAACAGTAAGAGAATTGTATGTCCATACCTGTGACGAGGGTGGAGGGTCCCTGTGGTTGGTGCTGGTGGGGTGCTACCATGGCCCTTGGGGCCGAGAGTGCCGCCATAATGCCCATCTTTTTCGAAGTCCGGTGCTGAGAAATAGCGAGATTGAGCCTTGAGGGCGCTTCTGCTGTTTTATCTCGGACGGGGCTTGCAGTGAATGGCGACGGTGTCAAATAGAGGGGTACAGAGCTTCGGTGTACAGGCGGCGCCTAAAGTACAGAGCAGGTGCTGTCGCTTGGGGGAGGGCAGCTGGTCACTAACAGAAGCGAGGGACCAAGAGCTGTAAGTCAGAGCCACACACCCATCCAAGGATTGGGGTCAGTTGAGTGATGGGGACGGTTCAGCGACTAGAGTGCTGTGTTGTGCTTCTGTCGCTGGGCAAATGGCGTTTGTGGTTGGTTCGTCGGCAAAATGCGAGAAACGCTTGACGGCACTACCGAATCGTTGCGGCGAAATGGTATCCAAGATTTGCGATCTTGGCAGAACACTTTGACCCAGAGGAATAGCCACGAGGTTGCTGTAGAATACCGTGATCAAGACAAAGGTGTTGCGTTCAAGCGTATGGTGGGTTTTTCTCAAAAGCTGACAACTGATAGATTGTAATGGTGGATTATGCCGGGGCCTTTGACTGAGTTGATCAAGATCTCGTGCCCGTGTAAGCCTAGAACGGATGCTTGTCGACTGTCGATGTGGTTCAAACGGGGTTCGGTGTCCGTTTGTCGGTCTTCAATTGAACATTGACTATTCTCTATTGTCTTCAACCACGTTGTTGTTCGTTGTATGATCTCTCACGATTGTTGGATGGGATGCTAGAGAAACCACATGGGACGTCGACTTGGTCGTAGGAGGATATGAAGACGTGGAGGGGGCGGCATCAAAAGTAGTAGCCGGGTGATTATGACCGTGACAGTGAAGCAAAAGAGCAGCACGATCGACAAGTTTTTGTTTTCCCTTTGAAGGATATATGAATAAGGGAAAGAAAGATGTTTAAATAAAAGCTAATAAAGGAGAGAGAAAGCTGAAGTAAGGAGACAAGCAGGGAAAAAAAGCGCGCAGCTTGTCTTTTGTGTCCGTACAAGTTATGAAGCTGCTACACTATTACTTACTCGGTGCAGTCGATCAAATTCGGTCCCTTCACCAGTCGCCAGTCTATCCCCAGCCCACCAGAGCCAAACCGAACTAAGGAACCCTCCACTCTTTCTTGGGCAAAGCTTCAAGGTGGATCACAGACCACAACTCGACGTGGGGAACATGGACAAGGGTCAGGATATGGATGTGGATGGGCCATGGGGAGGGGCGTGCGCATACTCTCATTCTCACACTCTCGCTTTCTCGTCCGAGTGCTGAAGCGATATGCATGTACAGTATCGAATGTACGTACAGATAGATACACAAAGCCAAAGCCAAAACCCTTGACTGATTCTGTATGGGATGCAATGATTGACATGCAGGTAACTCTGCTTGGGTTGGGGTAGAGAAAAATGGTTCATGTGTGTGTGAGTGGGGGGTAAGGTATTTGTTTTTGGAGATCGGGATACGGAGAAAGAGGCCGAGAATTGATATCGTTGAGTTATCCAGATCATCAACTGTTTGCTTCATCAAGAGGACAGCAGCAATCAACAATAATTAAGCGTCCTCTGGTTTATTAATCCCGTCCATGGAACCCTTGGATAGATAAACGAAACTTGACTGGTCCATTTTGCTCCGTCGGATAGTAAAGTACGTACATATAAGCACAGTGCGTGATTTATCTACTAAAAATCCACATCTTATGCGACCCAGTGGGTGACTTGAATCGCCTTTTACCCATAAAGATACAGCCCAGTTATCTAGGGGGTGCGGCGAGAGTGCGGAATTCTGCAACAACGTAGGTACAAGACCAGATAGCAAAGGCAATTCTTCTGATGGACAGCCCGAAATATTAACAAAGGCTACGGGAATTCCCAGTTTGGAGATCACAGGCCAACTTAAAGCTATGCCATAATTCCAGCAGTGGTAAAGTAGGAGGCGGCGACACGGAAATTATGCGTGGGTGAGCCGTGGAAAAAGCTTGGCTAACTGTCTTTCCCTTCACGATGACCGAAGTGCCCCAATTTTCCAGGTTCTGTCTCTGCATCTGCATTACATTACTGAGGTCCAGTGCTCCTGAGTCGGCCCTGGCCCTGGCACTGGATTAGATGCCAAAAACAAACTCATCAGAAAGCCTCTGAGCTTAGGCTGATAACTTACATCAGTATTTTTGTCACCGAGTTTAGTGATCTCAAAGTTTTCTCGTCTAGCCTGCCCTGCCCTGAGCCTCTTGTTTACAGTACCTGATCCATTTGATGACAACAGCTGCCTTTTGGGTTCTAGAGCCGCAGTGCCTCGACCATACAGCAAGCAGCAGCGGAAGACCTAATAATAGTTTATTTTGATGTTTCTTCTGGCTTCTGAAGAAACACAGGTGCGCAACTGCTCTCCTGAATCTTCGAGACAACTGGAAGCTCCCACTAATCAAATGACGATGCAGGCGCCATCAAATCAATGTTGTACGGTACCTGCTGAGAAGCCTCGGCGAGCAATTCGGCCAGTTTTCTGTGTTCTCCCATTGGTCCGCTCACCTTGACCCGGCCTCTCTTTCCCCATCTGGGGTCCCTTGGAGTGAGCGGTTCGCTGTCCTGGCTCTAGAGTGAAAGTGCAAGTGCGACAGCCACTGACCAATTACCTGCATCGGCTCCACCGCCAACCAAATCTGGTGTAAGCGCAATCGTCTCGAGTGCCAAAATCTTCAAACATCATGAATAAGTGCAAAAGCATCATGAACTTGCCCTTGAGCAATGAACTGAGCTATTACAACCACTTTGTTGCATCTTGAACATTGCCAAAACCAGTCACCAAATTTTCTGTCTCGCAATCTTGTTTGTTGAGATCCTGTCTCGTCATCTCAGTTTAACCTAACCCCATGCAATTCCAGAGCAACAATCTGCCCGAGACCCTGTTACAGCCAAGACTTTTCAAAAAGCGATCGTGACGCTGCACAACGGGACTCATAATCTTCCAGCTCCTCAAATAATCCAGTTACATCATCGAGAATTCAATCAGGAACAGCGGTCAATTCCACGGTGAATACTCGTGTCTCGTGCTCAATGCTCGCCCTTTGTGACGATCTTCCACGTATCATGGATCTCCACATGAAGCATTCGTGTTTCTGCCATCAGCAAATCATTAGGGTTACCGTCTCCTGAACAAGGCGCAAGCAGTCAATAATCCCGCGCCTCTCCCCAGCCCTGTCTCGCCCGGCCTCGAAAGGGAACGAATCTGGCGTCAGCAACTGGCGGTGCAATGGCTGAATGCCATGTCAAGTTTCTCCTTCAACCCCTTGCGGCATGTCAGCGAGCTCGCGTGCCTTTGAGCCAATTTCAGCCATCATTCAAAGCCAATTTAGCTGACCGACTTGGACCACTGCATTGTTACCAAAAAAAAAAGCCCCACGCAAGCCGCGGTTTTATGTTCCAGGGGTTTGCACAAGAGGCAAGGTATTTTGGATAAAACTAGCCTATGATTTGAGGAAGTTATGATGGCCTAATGAAGAGTATAACCCACGATTGTATTCAAGTTATGCTCTCCTAGGACACTCAATTGAAGGATAATGGGATTCTATGGGGTACCGACCACGGACAAAACCTGCACCACTAGTTAGTACCCGCTCTGTCGCCTCGCCTGAGTCGACGGAGAGCATGAAACGGAGCCTGGGAATTTTAATTATAGGTCTCTCGGTCCTCTATAGCCGGCTGCACTGCTACCACTCAGGGCAAGGGCAGCATCGAAATCCACCAGGATAAGCGCCTCAAGCCGTTGATTGGAATTGCTCGGGAGAGACGGCAGTTCTCATCAAGAGCAGAAAGGCCAGCATTTTCCACGGAGCCGGAATTGAGTGTGACTAGGTAATCAACAACCCTCAACTTCGACCTCGACTGCATTTGCATGCAAATCATGAGTCTTGCCATGGTGCCGGATCTTGGCTAGGATTGGTCACTTCGACATCCAAGAGCCGCAATCAGACATATCCTTTCATCCGCAACACCACGGTTGTCGAAATCAGCCCAGTTTCTGCCTACTGTTGCGGCTCTGATATCGGACATTGGACGGCGCTTATCCGGTCAACATGCCTCCGATCATGCGAAAATCCCGGTTCGCTATCCGGAGCTATCTCATCTGAAGTTTTAGACCAACATATCTTCAGTTGTCTTCTCTCGATCTCAGAAGCTGCGATCAGTGCCATTGCCTCCGGTTTGTTTTCAATCTGCCGACAGTGATCGCCTTCATTTCGTCAATCCTGTATGCAGTACCCCCTGTTCAACTTCGCAAGAGACGCGCACGCAAGGTGCTGCTGTGTAGCCGGACGACGAATGTCCTTTGACACAGATCTGCGTATGCGCGTCCTTCTCCGTCAAAGCTCTCGCTGCATTGCGATTGCGCCTCAAAGTGACGCACAAGTAAGACAAGTTGCGCGGCGGTTTGAGATTATTCAAAGTAAGCTTGAATTCTAACTCATACCTGTCACGCCTGATCGGCGTTGATAGACATAACAAGCGGCATTTACGTTTCCTTATGTGCAACGCAAATCGCATGGGATTTGATTAAGCGCAAATTGGATTTCGGGAAGCCCCCTGGTGTGACAAAGTGTCGGTCTGTGTCTCTGTGATCCCTCTAAGTACGGTTTAACCAGAAATAATAAGGAAGGTTCTCCAGGCATTTGACCTGAACATATAATAAAAACAGGAAATGATGGTCATCAAAATTTCCACATATTCGCGAACCAAGGGGGCGCAGAGGTCGCACCGCAAATCTGGCTTCAGAACAAGGATATCTGCACTGTCTGGCATTTTAAGTCCCTTGTCGCCAAGGCCGTCAATGTCTCCCTCTGTTCTGGCAGCCCTCCCGACACTGAGATCTTGACCACCGCAGCGAATCAAGGGACCTTTCTAGGGCTGCCTAGCTCGCCTTCAATCACAACTCATAGTTGGTGGAATTCTGTCCCGCCCTTCACGACCTCAGGAAGGCTATGACTCTATCGTCGTAT